AATGAGTTTTTTGGGTTCATTGAGAACATGGTTGTTGTTCAATAATAAAATTATTCCTCAAAAATACAACTTGCCTAATAATTCTGCACTCCCTGTATTATGGTATAGAGAACATGTAAAAGGCTCAAGATTTAGGAAACTCAGACTCAATTTATTGTCTAAACTCACAATAAAACCACAGACATCAGTTTTCACTGAAGAACCTCATCAGGCTTTGACAACTAAAAAATACTGAAAATACTAAAACTAAGGACATTTCTTTTAAAAGGACATTTTATTTTGGTTGTTTGTTTCACATCAAATTTTAATTGTAATTGTAATGAACTATAATAAGTTTGGGTATCGTCATGTAAATATAAACTGCCAACAAATATTTGATTGAGAAGCAATGATTGTGGCAAGCTAGGTTTCATCGGACTGAAGCACACCTGCTTGCTCACAATGCTGGCTTACCTCATTTGTCTAACATTAAAGTAGAATGTTGGACCTGCTTTGATACATGACTGCTTGGACTGACTTTAAGCTGCTACTATATGAGCTTCCCTGTCATCAGATCATTTGAAGAGGGACCTGCTGCTGTTTCTAAAATGAAGGGCCATGTGTGTCATGCTGTAGTGCTGACTCATTTTGATATGGGCCATTGCAGGCTTGCTAAGGCCCCACCTCTCATTAGGGTTCTGGATAGTCTTTAGAAGTAAGCGGATCAGGACATCGATGCCAATGCTGGTATTGGTATAAGATTGATACCAGTGTGATAGGACTGATACGTCGTTTTTTACCTATTTTTGTCTTGACTGTCGTGTCTGTTTAATTTATAGCGTGCAGCACATTTAAATAACACAACATTAGTCCTCTTTGTAAATGTAAATGTGGCAGGTACGTTTACATTACAGGTTTTCAAAAAAACCCCACCTTGCATTAAAAGTTGAAAGTTGTGTTTTGTTGTGTAGTTATTGTGGGAAGTAAAACTCCCTGTGATTTAGTGGTTATTAAAATGTGTTCAGAATTTGCAACTTGACAAACATTCATCACACAAATGATAAAGGTAAAAAAACATTGGCATCGGTATTGGATTTACCACCACTGTGCACAGCACCAGTGGTCTGCCCCACTTTTCCCCACTACAAAGACCCCGATAAGACCCCGTAAAGGCGATAAAACCCCCGACACGTTTCATCATATATCCAGGCAGGTAGCATCGCCCTTTGAGCCACCACATGATCTAATTAGAAATTCAATTAGACGCCTTTACCTGTCCGTCACGTGACCAGAACACCTCCGCGCCCACTTCCGCAGCTGCAGCCTGCCCCCTAAACGCGTCGTTTCCAGTTGTTATTTTCGGGACAGGAGGCGAGACCGGTCCGGCAGGTTTGTGTGGACTAAACCAGGTGAGGCAGCGGGAGAAGAAGGGCGGGGAGCCGCTGCCTGAGACTGCACAATCAGGAAGAAGCTGACAACATGGTGCGGTGACAGAGCGCTCCGGACACCGACTGAGAGCAGGATTCACCTTTTTAATACTATTCTGACGAGGAAACGAGTAAGTCGAGCTAAAATATAGACGTATAAGCGTTGCTTTGAGTACTTTGCTGTTTGTGAGGTTTGTAAGTGTTAAAGATTGGGCATAAACCAGAGTTTCCCCTGGGCGGATCACCTTTCCTCTGTTGTCGGTTAAAGTTTCCCACTGGAAACTCCTCAATGATCGCGAATGTTTTGAAATAAGGGTCTTTTTGTCATGTCCAAGAAGAGGTTAACTTTAAAATCTCTACTGCATATTTTAGCGGAAACACTGCTTTAGACTACTTACAAAAATGATTTTAAAAAGCTGCTGGTTCTGTTTGAATGATGTCTGAATTGTTTCCAAATTTCTGGGTAGTAACAATTACTTTTACGTTTCTTTTGTTTCCTGTGAAGGAAGGCTACACGTTAGAAACTCTCAAGTCAGTATCATTCAGCAATTTACAACTTCAAAAATGATCATAACATGATGATCCATTAGGAGGAATTTCCCTAACAGGATCCAGTTGCTCTCAAGTGAATCTCTCTGGAATCTGAGTGGGGTTGGGATATATTCAGTACTTCTATATTTTTATATACCTTAATGTGTTCCCTAGATTTAAAATAAACAAATAAATAAAATTAAGCCCCATGGGCATGAAAACATGGGCATCACCTGTCTCGTCACAATCACATTCTTCTTCCTGGTTGAAATCAGATAAATTTGAAGCTTGCTGTGGATTATTCTGCCTGCTGTGGCTCACGTCCGTGCTTTTCTCTGGCCCACATTTGGTCTTCACTAACACTTTTAATGAGGTTTGAGTGGTGCAGTCTCAGCTTTGCCACAAGCCCACATTGTATGGGACAAAGGTCCTGACATTTGGGCCACACCTCTGCCATACAACACATACCAGCGCCTTACCTGAGCTGTGGGTCGCCAAAAGTAGCTGCAATTAGGACCAAATACAGTCTGGATTGTGTTTGGATGGGCGACATGTCTTTATTATGGTATTTCAATGTGGTATCAAATTGTATTCATGTTACATTTGTGATACCCAGACAAACTTGGAGGGCTGGTAAAAGTGGCTGTGTTCCACAATAAATACCAGAATGACTAAGGCAAATCACAGCTGCGAAAATTATCATACGTTTTCCATTCCTCGTGTTTCTGTGTTCGTTCAGTGTCTGAGGTAAATGGACATGTGTATTGAACAGATGTGTCCAAAACAAAAAACCCAGTGTATTGCATTTTACAAAAATATCTTTTTATGTGCTTCCAATGAAATCTTTTGCTTTTGCTCAAGTTTGGGAATTCTGATTAAAATCCATAAGAATAATGAAACTTGACTGAGGTGAATTCCAGAATTTGGCTGTCACAGAAGACAGAAAAATTAAGCACTTAACTTAAACATCACATCCTCATTTTACGGCTGTATTAAAAACTGATTTTAAAATCTGGGTTTTCAGCATGTGTTTACTCTGAAGAATGTAGATTATAAAATGAAAGAGGGATTACCAAGTGGACTGAGTACATTTATACTTCATCCTGGTGTTGTGGGCAACTCTGTATCTCTTTTCTTTGTTTACCTGTTTACACTATTGTTCTTATTTTTATTGTATTTGTATCTACATGGTCAACAATCAATGACGTCACTTAACTGGACCGAGCCCATGCAAGGTTAATCTAGACAAGCACAAAACTAAAGCCCAGCTATACAGATGCATTGTGTGATTATAAAACCCAAGGCTTTGGATAGATGCACATCAGCTGTGACGAGGGCTGGCACTACGCTCACTAAACTGGCATCTGAGCTACATATACATATAACTGACAGTGGCTCAACAGGCTCAGTCCCACGTGTGGTTAGATGTAACAACCCAGCGTTTTTAGTGTGCAGAGGACACATTGTTTAATTTTGGAATGTGACTTTTGAATGACTTGAAGGTTATTTATTCAAACAATGAATTAATAATAATACTTATTATTATTATCCCTGTGTCCCTTCTAGGCCTTCATATAAATTTTAGTTGTGTTGAAGCCACCCCATTTCCTTCTTTATAACTTGCGTAACCTCTCCATGCTGCAAACTTCTCACGGTCTAACATTTGATAGTAAAAAAGTGGAGCCCTTTACATATGGCTACTATATAAACGTGTCTTGTCTGCAGTTAAAACACTGTGATTCAAGCCTGGACACCCTCAATTGTGGCTACTGTTGTATTTGTGAACACAATGGCGGCTGGTGGGTACACCCATCCCAGCCAGCCTGGATGTTTTTTCCATAAACATGCAAGGAAGTTTTTCCTCAGCAGACGCAGCAAGTTGGAGTCTCTTTGATTAGGGAAATATTTGTACTTCTTATGGAAATGCCTGACCTTGAAAGCACAGACAGAGAATTTGAATCGTGACTTGAGAGGCAAATGGACAGAAGAGTGATGTGAGGTCAAGGCTTCACGAAGGCTGTTTTAAATTTTTCTTCAAATTTTCCATATGGACGATCGGACAGGTTTCACTTACTCCATCTGAAGCTTTCTGTTCGTGCTGTCACGACTGTCTATCTGCTTTTATCCATGGTTTAGGAGTCTGTTCTTAAATTAGTGCTTTATTCAATAATATCACAGATTTTCATTCGTTTCATTTAATTTTTTGCCCTTCTTCTTTTATTAGGTTATCATACTTTCTCCCCCCCAGTACCATCCATGTCTAAGCTTAAGAAATGCTTCCATGGCTAATGTTTGAGATAAGCGTCAGATTTAACAACGTGACGACACCGGGAAGTGTTTTGTGCCAGCGTACTTAATAAATCCGATGTTTGCTACTGAGTTATCCGCAAATATCTGCTAAAGAACTTTCACAAACATTATGACAATGAAACAGGAATAATAGGAACACATAGGATAACAGGAAGGCTCACATCTGTCTTCTTGTCACCATGAAAGTGAATCTATCAACTTTTTCTCTCCCCTCCAACACCTATTTGAACACTGAGTCCATCTTTAGGTATTTTAATTAATATTTAGGGTAATTACTAATCGCTTATTTGCTTCTTGAACTGATAATTAGGGAAATAATGTTTTAAATTGGCATATAAAGTAAGGAGTACGGTTCATTAATCTCGCTTAATTCCTTCATTAAGCTCTGAGTTATTTGCATATCCAAATACACCTGGTCCTTAAACTGTATTTCCCCCGAGAGATGCAATGGCCCAGCTTCAATAGTTTTGCTATATGGGGGTAATTTAAAGTGAGCACCAGGGTTTTAAAAGTGTGGCCTGTAGCCCAGAGATGGCCATCCTTTAATACAGATGTTTATTGAGACTTGGGATGTGAGTTCAGTGTGTTATTTGTACCTGTTCTGAACTTCTTAAGGTTTGCCCCTAATCAATACCACCCGTTTTTAGAAGACACACAAAAATGAATGTACACAGTTTTTCATTTTCATTCACTTTCAGAAACTTAAAAACTAAAACCAAACCAGCAAAACTCTGGAAATCATCAGAGACTAAACTGAATTTAAATAAATGAGTAAATGAATTGGAAAGTGTAAAACTCTTAACAAGGTCATTACAGGCTCCGTTTAGTTCTCTTGCAGACTTTTGTGACCACTTGCCCTGACATACTCACTGTGCCCAGAGGGGAATGTAGCAACGTCTCTGCCAGTTCACCTGTTTTGCTAAAGCGGCTTTGTGGAAGCTTTTTAATAAATTATTGGTTTGATGGTTTTATTTTTCCTTTGTGGCCCTCTGCCCCAGACTCTTTAAAATCCTTAAAATTACTTACCAAGAGCCCCCGATTTAAGAATGTAAACTGAGTGTGGGTGTCTTTGTTGGCCTTGAGGCCTCCCTATAGGTCACTCCAACCAAAACCACTTCTGTTCAGAATCTTTCTTAATCAAACCTTGAGCCATCTTGAGGTTTCAGTCACTGCTCACATGTGAGGAAAGGCAAACAGATGCAAACTAGGAGTCAAATAGAATTTGACTGCATAGGATATGAAGTCGATGCGTGTTTGTTGTTTTAAAAAGGGGGGGAAAGCCAGTTATTGTGATTCCTGCCACGGTCTTAGAGCTTCATCTTAATCCACAGAAACGTTAAAGTCCTAGCGGTACAGTGGTTTGCCCCAGGGCCACGCAGTTCTTCTATTTTATATAGACAGAGAATTCACTTTCCCCAAAAGACTTTTGCAAGCTATCTAAATGCAAACAGAAAAATGTTTTTCCAAATCATCTTACATCTTTTATCTTTAATAGAGAAGTTGTACGAAAACGACATCTCAAATGGGGACACTAAGACGCTGGTTGTTTTATTGAAAAGAAGTAGACATGGGGCAACATAGAAAACGTATCAGTTTCTTGGAGGCGAAAAAATATACTCGGGTCATTAATGTGAGTGGGAACAAAAAAAAAAAAGAGTGTAGAGAGACGACACCTTTCAAGAGTACAGATGGTGAGGACTTTGCCAGCATGTTGGCAAAACATGAAACATTTCTCAAAGTACAGAATTTTCATAATCTGTGCTACCTTTTACCCTTTTTTAAAACCCCTATTTTTTAAATCTATTTTATTTATTTAATGTGCATATTTACTCAGCCACTCATGTAAACATTAAGAGCATTGTGAAAAAGAAAGTGTGATGGAGGACAAACTGTTGAGCAACCAAATTCCTATATGAAACAGTGATGGCATAAACCTGTGTGGCTTAAATATGAGAACTCCTCAGATCTTATTCTAATTAAAGGATTAAGGTCTTTAAAGTGTTCTTAATTTAAATCCAAACGTGATGATGATGATGCTTTGAGGTCATAGCGCCTAAACTTTGGAACCACTTTCCTCAGCCCGTCACGTCGGCTGAATCAGCCGCTTGTTTTAAACAACTGTTTTAAAAACCAAACAAACTTTTATAGATTAGTCTTTCTTTAATCATTTACCTGTTAAATTTGGCTATAGCATACACACATATGGAAGCACGTATCTGTAAATGAGTTAAAATATATATTTCATAATGTAAACATAAGTTTATTTATTAAATGCTTTTTACTTAATTAG